ATGGAGGAGGAGATGGAGGAGGAGGTGATGGAGGAGGAGATGAAGGAGGAGATGGAGGAGGAGATGGAGGAGTTCATGGAAGAGGAGATGATGCAGGAGGAGATGGAGAAGGAGGCAATGGAGGAGGCGATGGTGGAGAAGGAGGTGGTACCAAGGGAGACAGGGTAAGCTGACCCTGAGGTGGAGGGGGTGAAGGCAGAGGAGCCATGGAGGTGGCAGCCACAGTGGCAGAGAAGGTCTCTACAAAAGTGGCAGTGGATCTGGTGTCACTGCATGGGTTCAGTTGGTGCTGCTAAGCAGGTGCTTCTCACCCCTGTCCCCCAGTCCTCCTCAGCAGCCTCAGTTTCTGCCCTGCACAAGGGGCTCAACTGTGGGCTGCTCCTCTGGCTGGCTGGGGGATGGGCGAGGACCAGGCTGCCAGACCAGGATCGATGGCACTGTGAGAGTGGTAATTAGATTGAGCACGGGCGGCCACCCAGCCTCTTTCTGCTGCCATGGACAAAACAGCGAAATTTCTCCCAACTCCATTGTGCCAGCCCCTTCCCCAGCCTCTGCCTCTAGGTCCCCATTAGACTCATGGAGACTGGGAGGGGACAGGAAAGGGAGCAACCCCACATCCTGCTCCCTGGCCACTGCACACTTTCCCTGAGCCAGGAACCAAGTCCATGCCTCACAGAATCACTTCATTCATTCATTCATTCATGTATTTGTAGTATTGGGGACCAAACCCAGCAGTGCTTTACCACTGAACTGCATCCCCAGCTCTTTTATATATATATATATATATTTTTATTTTGAGACAGGATCTTTCTAAGTTGTAGATTGGACTCAAACTCAAGATCCTCCTGCCTCAGCCTCCCAAGTAGCTGGGATGACAGGCATTCACCCCACTTAGTGTTACCTTTAAAAGAATGGGAACAGGACCAGGGATTTACCTCAGTGGCACCAAGCCTGCCTGGCAAGCACAAGGTTCTGAATTCGATTCCCAGTACAAAAAAAAGAGAGAGAGAACAGAGTTCAGCAGTGCACATTCATAGTTCCAGCACTCTGGGAGGCTGAGGCAGGAGGATTGCGAGTTAGAGCCCAGCCTGGACAACTTAATGACTTAGCAAGACCTTTTTCTCAAAAAATAAAAAGGCCTGGAGAAGTGGCTCAAAGCAAAGGCCCTGGGTTCAATCCCAATAACTAAAAACCCAAGACAAAACAAAACAGAAGGGTACCTAGTTCCCTCCCCTGACCTTCATAGAGCACCCAGGTTCTGAAGAGGTACGAAATCAAGGAAGTTCTTTGCTTTTCTGTCCACAGTTTCTGCAGATAAAATAGAAACATGCACTTGTCTCCCATGGCATTTCATACACAAACACTACCTGCTACACACTTCGTCACCCATGCCTTGCCAAATATGAATATTTTGGTACTGGAGATGGAGCTAAGGCCTTATGCTTGCTAAGCCCAGCCTTTACCCCTGGAGCTCCTCCCCCAGCTCCTGCAATCATTTTATATTCAAAGCCACACCCTCCCCTCTGTGGGTTTCACTGTATAGTTACAAAGATATTCTCTCCCCAAATCAATATTCAGTGATTAACATTATGTTTTTGGTGAATGGCATCCCCAGCTGAGCCATGTGGAGTACTAGGAAGGCCTTTAATTCCTTGTGCAACTGTTTGATGTTCCAAGAGGTCATAGCTACCAATCACAAATTCTTCCCACACTGCCCAACAAAATGCAAAACCAACTCAGTAGGAATGTGCTGCATTACAAGGTCACCTTCCCTGAACACTTTATTAGGGACTCCTGTTCCAGTCTGGCTGCCTCTTTGTGACCTCGGTGCTGCTGTTATTTAGTGGTCTTCCAGTGTTCCTCCTCTTCTTTATCATTTCCTGAAGCCAACATTTCTTTTTGGGGGGGGTGGGTACTAGAGATTGAACTCGGGACCTTGCACTTGGGAAGCAGGCAGCGGCACCACTGCGCTAAATCCCCATCCCTAACATTTCTTTTTTCTATTTACCTTCTCATGTGATTGGAGCACACCCTCCAGTAGCTTTCTGAGAAAGGGAGTGTGGAACATCAACTTTTGGAGTTTTCAAAATAGCCAAATAGTTTACTATTTAACAATTCTGGAGTTTGTTTGTATGTTTGATTTTGACAGGGTCTTGCTATGTAGTCCAGGCTGGTCTCAAACTTACACCAATCCTCTTTAGAATTTTGAAAGCACTACTTCACTGTCTCCTAGTTTCTAAGACACCCGGAGATGTTCTGATTCTCCATCCTGTGCATGACATCTGATTTGCTCTCTGGAAGCTTTAACAATTTTCTCCTTATCTCCAGTGCTCTGAAATTCACAAGGATGAGCCTTCCCAAGTGTCTGTTTCATTTGTCCAGGTGAGTGCTTGATGGGCTATTTTAACCCTGGGACCAATGTCCTTGCCTGGCACTTTTCTTTTCTCTCATTACTTGGTCTTTGATAATCTCTTCCTCCAGTTTTGGATTGTCTATACTTTTAAATTTCTATTTATTTTTTTCTTGGTGTTTTGAGGCAGGGTCTCACTAGGTAGTTCAGGCTGGCTTTGAATTCACTATGTAGCCCAAGCTGGCCTCAAACTCACAGCAATCCTCCTGCCTCAGCCTCCCAAGTACTTGAGTTACGGGTGTGCACCACTGTGCCCAGCTTATCTACTTATTTTTTTGAAGCATGGTCTCACTATGTTGCCTGGGCTGACCTCAAACTCTTGGGCTCAAGCAACCCTCCTGCCTCAGCCTCCCTGAGTAGCTGTGATACACCTGTGCACCACCACTCCCAATTTGGATCGCCTCTGGATCAGAAGACAAACCTTCTAAATTCATCCTCCAACTCTGTGATCATCTTTCTCCCCTTTCCCATTGCTGTGTCTACTCTCTTCTGTTAGCTAGGATATTTGTCTGACTTCATCAGCCAGCTTTTACAAAGTCATTTTACGTCAGCTACCTGTATTATGCATTTAAATTCTGAGAGCATTTTCTGGCTCTTTAATCACTGTTTTTATTTAACACTCCATTCTTGTTTCATGAATACGATGTATTTTACCCCCTCTGAGAAATATCAATAGCTTGCCTGCTTTTTTTTTCTGATTATTATTGTTTTGAGATAGAATTTCACTCTAACTCAGGTTGGTCTCAGACTTGCAAAGTAGGCCCAGCCTGACCTCAAGCTCAGGATCCTCCTGCCTCAGGCTCCCAGAGGGTAGGATTACAGACATGCTTCTTTGTTGATTTCTTCTGAAGTCAGCCCTTTTTCTCACTTGTTCTCTTTCTTCGCTCCCTCTTCCACCGGTAGATGATTTCCTAAAATGTCCAATGGCTTGCCTCCGTCGTACATTTAACCATAAAACCTGATGCAGGAAGTTAGAAGCTTCAAGCACCCTGATCAGAGGAAGCAACAAGGCAGGGGGTTCTACATCAGCTGACACTCTATATGTGCAAACCCCCATCCCCAGGAAACGTGTCCCAGCACGACAGACCTCCCCTTCTTTGCCTCAATGTGTATGGCTGTCGGTCAGTCGGGCACGCCATCTGGTCCGAACTGTTCCAAAAGAAAGTAAACTTGCTGTGTGTCCCCGGCAGGCCACCACGGCCAGCAGCAGGGACCTGCTAGGGAGTCTGCAGCACCTGTCGCTTCTGGGGGTGACAAGAGGTGTGCGGGAGGCAGGATGGGGCTGAGATTCAGATCAAGTAGAAGCCAATGTGGAAAAACAGCCCTGGCATGAAGTCCTCTTGTCCCCTCCCTGTGTCCACTGGGCCGTCACAGGGCTCTGGTGCCACCCAGAGCTGCCATCTTGGCAATGTCTGCGGCCTTTGTCCTGCTCCAAGGAAGGCCACCGCTAGGCCTAGCTGTGACCCCGCACCGTCCCCTCCTCCTTCCCGAGATCCTCTCGGCTCCAAGGGCCCCCCGAGCGCTGGAGGACTCCGTGGCTAAGTCGGTGCCGTCACGTGCCCTGGGGACGTGGGCTGAGGCACCACCTGTGTCAGCCCAACATGAGGTTTCAGGGTTTCTTCCAGGGAGGAGGCGTGAACCAGTGACTGCAGCCCTGCCTGGAACCCCGTCACCCCCACGCTGCTTTGGGGGTGTCCTTCTCTGGGTCAGGAGGGTGAAGGGTTTGGGGAGAAGGGGCCGGCAGGGGACGCCATGGGGTGTCGGCGGGGGTGACGGATGGGGACTCGCGCTCACTCTGGGTCCCTTTCTGTGTCCCCTCCCACTGCCGCCCGCAGCGTGCAAGCGGAAGGAGCAGGAACAGCAGAAGGAGCGGGCCCTGCAGCCCAAGAAGCAGCGCCTGGTGTTCACCGACCTGCAGCGCCGCACGCTCATCGCCATCTTCAAGGAGAACAAGCGGCCGTCCAAGGAGATGCAGGTGACCATCTCGCAGCAGCTGGGGCTGGAGCTCAACACCGTCAGCAACTTCTTCATGAACGCGCGGCGCCGCTGCATGAACCGCTGGGCCGAGGAGCCGGGCGCCGCCAGCGCTGGGGGCCCCACGGGCGTCACCGCCACCTTCTCCAAGGCCTGAGCGCCCACCAGGGAGGGGACCGCACACCCCAGCCCAGTGCACAACGGGGGGCCCCTCCCCGGACCCCATCCCAGGCCAAAAGAAGCCCCCTGTGGCGGCGGGGCCGGAAAAGGGGTTCCCAGCCCCCTCTCCATTCAGGACGCCCAGGGGGCCCCTAGGAAATCCGGGGCTCACTGTGTGGTCCCCTAAAGCGGGTCAAAAAGCACATACTAGAAATATAAACCGGGTATTTAAGGGAAAAAAGGAATTTTAAGAATAACCCTCTTCCTCCTCCGGACACCCCCCACCCCAGGGGAGGCACGGGGGCTGCGGGAGGTCTCCCCCCACCCGCGCATCCTTTGTCCCCTTCCCCAGGAACTCGCCCCCTTCTGAGTCGCCAAAACCCACGTCAAGCTGGATCCTCGCGGCGCCCCCTCCCACCCAACACCACCCTTCTGCTGGCGGGACCCCCCAGCCGAGACCCCAGCTGCCCCTCCGAGAGGCCAGGATCCCTCGTGCCAAGATTTGCCTGCCTTAATGCCTGGGAAGGGGGCCTGCGGGGACAGCGCCCTTGTCCCCCCCACCGACCTGGGTGTGGCCGGCTCCAACATGCGGGTAAATTCCAGATGCCCCCCCCCGCCCCCAGCACCCCTTGGTTTAGTCCACTTTACCTGTTGGCACCTTGATGAACCACACACAGGGAAAGACGCATCCCAGGAACCAGAAGATGACGCCAGAGTCCACAAGAGGGAGCCGCACAGGAGTCCCTGCGGGGTGCACACCAGGGGACCCCCAACTCACCGCCCCTCCTCCTCGTGGGTTGCAGAACTGGTCCCCCATGCCCTGCAGGGGTCAGCAGCTGGGGGTGAACCTTAACTTTGTCACATCTCTCTCCCAGGAGAGAAAGAAGATGTTGAAGAACTTGGAATCTGCTTGCTCTGTGTTTTGCCAAAAAGAAAAAAAAATTTGTTTTTTATAAAGAGGAGGGGTCGGAAATGAAGGGAAGCACCTCACCCCCACCCCACCGCACTCACCTCTTCTATCTGACCTTCAAGACTGGATTTCCCAAGACTTGCCTTCCTGCGGTTCAAAATCCAGAGGCTGGAAGGAGCCCCCCCTCCTCAAAACCCCCAAACCCTGACTCCCTCGGCTGCCTCCCAGGGAGGGGGCCCCACCTCTCCTGGAGAATGCAAAAGACGTTTCTAGTGAACCCCCTTCCCCGGGTAAAGGCTACCTCACTCAATGCTCACGTTCGTGATTGGAAAATCACGTCTGATACCAAAGATTCTCCCCAGGACTTGTGCTGGACATAGGGTCCCCTCCCCCTCCAGCCTAGTGTCCCCTTCTGTCCCCCCCCCAGAGGACGAGAGAGAGAGAGAGAGAGAGAGAGAGAGAGAGAGAGAGAGAGAGAGAGAGAGAGAGAGAGAGAGAGAGAGAGAGAGAGAGAGAGGGAGAGAGAGGAGGGCAAGGTCGGTGAGTGCCTTTTTCTTGAACCAAAGATATGTATGGAGGAGTGTCCTGTGTCCTTATTGCCCCACTGTCCTCTAGCTTTGTAAGTGACGCTCCCAGAGCCTGTGGGGGTTGGGGCGGCATTGTGAGAGTGAAGAGTCCCGGTCCCCACTTGGTGACTGACCCCTGGACAAGCAGACATGCAGACACACACACAAACACACACACACACACACACACACACACAAACATGCACAGACACAGAGCGACCCTGTTCATTTTGGGGGGTGACCCTGGGCACTGGGAACCCTGTTCTGGGAAACTGAGGGCCCCTCCTCCCCTCAATACACCTGAGCCCCTCTTCTGAATTGGCAGGCAACAGGGTGACATCTTCTGACCTCAGCCAGCCCAGGGCCCACAAACCCATTTTAATATGTTTTAAAAGTAGAAAGTAGGGCCGAGGATTTAGCTCAGTGGTTCTGCCACCTGACCTCACAAGTGGAAGTTCCCGGAGTTTGATCCCCGGTACCCCCCCCCCAAAAAAGTAGAAAGCCAGAAAATGAACTTTTAGGGAAAAGAAAATGTTATAATATGCCATATTTACAGATGCGTTCTCATTTTTCCTTTGCAGTGCTAGAGGTAGAACACAGGACTTCATGCATGCTAGGCAGGCGCGCACTGTTCAGCTTCGAACCCAGTCCCGAAGGGCCCTTTTTTCTTTCCTTGTTCTTTCTTTTCTTTTTCTTTATTTCCTTTCTCTTCCTCTCTCTCTCTCTCTTTTTTTTTTTTTTTGGTACCAGGGATCAAACTTGGGTCCATAAGGTTTGGGGGCAGGCAGTGGCACCACTGAGCTAAATCCCCGGCCCTCTTTCTTTCTCTTTTTTAAGGGAAAAGGTTTATTTGGCTCACAGTTTGTAGAGATTTCAGTCCATAACGGGCTGGCTCCAAGGGCTGGCTCCAAGGCACGTGGCACAAGGCAGAGGGACGACAGTTCATGGCGGAAGACAGCAAAAGCAGGCAAGCAAGGGCTCTTTTTTTTTGGTGCCAGGATCGAACTCTGGACCTTTTGCTTGCAAGGCAGGTGCGGGAACCACTGAGCTAAATCCCCAGCCCACAAGGGCTCTTTTGTGTGTGTGTGTAGGGTTTTATTTGTTTGTGAGGATTTTTTTGTTTTGTTTTGTTTGTTTTGAGACAGGGTCTTCTTGCTCTGTAGGGCAGGCCAGCCTTGAACTCCAGTGATCCTCCATCTCAGCCTCCTGAGTGCTGGGATTACAGGTGTGTGCCCCCATGCTCAGCCCAGTGGGTCCTCTTTACATACCACACCACACACACACACACACACACACACACACACACACACAGGCCAGCTCCCCTCCCTTCATCAGGCCCAGATCCCAACCTCCCCCAATGCCATCTGGTCCTGCAAACAAACCAAAGACCCTTCCCACCCATGCAGGGAACCCCTCTCCAGCACAATTCCTTCAAGCCTTTGACAATTCTCTCAGAAATACCTCAAAATATTTAATGTATAGTTTATGTGATAAAAGAAAATTCCTTAGCTAGTTTTTGGACTACGTGACTTGAAGCTTTGTACAGTTAGATTATAATTTTGCAGGCCATGGCATGTTTGTCTGACTTTCCTGTGGGAGACCTACTGAATGTTAGGGTGGAGAGGCTGGTGGTCAGAGGGCCAGGTGGGGTGGGTGACGGGACCAGCGGCGTTTACAGATTTCTCATTGAAATGAGTCTTTTAGGAAAGAGAGGGTGAGAGATGGGAGAGAGAGAGCGAGAAGAGAGGAGAGAAGTGAAACTTTCCGTTCTCTGGCTTCTTCTGTTTCTCGTTTTTTGAGTCATGTCTTATAAGAGTATTTATTATTCTACGTGTTCTGTGTCCAGATGTAATTTAAGAAAAAAAAGAAAGAAAAATGAAAAAAAAAGACAAAATGGAATTTGATTTGGTGCATGGCTAATGTACTCTTTCTTGGCGATAATGTATTAAGTGATGGGTGGGGGGTGGGGGGTCCATTCCTAATCTGCGTGTTTCATGCCCGAGTCGGTGCTGTCCCGTGCTCTTCCTTTGTGCTGCTCTGTGTCCCTGTTTCCCCTTTCCGAGGAGCTGTGTGTGTTCAGCAGGTGATCAGGCCCCAGGTGGACAGCCAAAGGGGTCCTGGAGCAAGCCGGACCTAAGCTCCACAGGCCTCCACATGCCACCGGCCACCACCCTTGCGAAGCAGGGGCCGGTCACCAGGTCCCTCTCCTGGGTCTTGATGCGCTGTAGGTATTGTAGGTATTGTCGCCTGCCAGGACTCTGCCTGGCCCTGCCCGGTTGGTTTCACTTTAGCATGTATGCATTCCTAAGTGTCTTGTTCAGAGGAAAGAGACAATCAGGCAGTTTGAGTCTCGTCGCCCATGGTGGCAGGGGGCTGGGGTGCGCCCCAACTTACCAGGACCCAAAGGGCCTTTCTGAGCCCCCCTGGTGCCCCCAGCTCCACCTGGCTCCCCTCAGCATCCTGGCCCTGGGCTGGACCCGAGTCTTTCTGACCGGCCCAGGAGTAGGGCAGTGCATTCTTGTATGGGGCGCTCCCTTCTGGAAAAGAGAGCACCCCCAGACCCCAACATCAGGAAAGCAGCCCCTGGGACCGGGACTCTCCCTGGGCCTCTGTTTTACCTCTCCGGTGGCCCTGCAGATGGGGACAGAGTTCAGGCCCAGAGGGGAATTGTGGCAGCAGGTTCCCACGATGGGCCCTGAGCTGGGGAACAGAGGGACATCTTTACACCCTACAGAACAGGGTGGGGACTGAGGGAGGCCAGAGACAAACCCCAAGGAAGCCCCTTCTCTGCCCAGCGTGGTCCCACCAAAGCCCTGCCATCCGGCCCCTGGCTCGGCCTGGTGGTCCCAGGGAACCCCCGAGAGCCAGGTTGTCCCAGCAGGGACAGGTGGGATCCACATCCCCAGCAGTGTTTTCAGTGAAGATCAAAAAGTAGGGGCGCTTGCAGGGATCTCCAAGGGATCACCCCAGTCCTGTCCCCTCCAGGGCAGGAGAGGAGACAGGCCCCTCCACCCCACCCTCAGGCGACAGGCTTAGAAGGGAAAACAAACCAAAAGATCATCCTTGTTAATCATTCCTGTGCTCAGTTTGCTGTTTTGGTTTTTTCTTCAATAAATTATTTTCTAGTCACTCAGCTGGGTGTGTGTGTGTGTCGGCCCATGAGGGGCGGGAGGGTGCAGGTGGGAAAGGGGGCCGGCCCTCTCCCAGCCCCTACTCGCTCCCACTTCTGCAGAAACCTTGGGAGTCAGAGGGCCAAGCTGGGGCTGCCCAGCCACACGTCATGGCACAGACCCTATCAGGACCTTCTTTGGGAGGCCCGTTGCTTCCTGAGGTCTGAAGTGGAAGGTGTTTATTTGAAGAGGGGGGAACTGAGGCAGCCTGGTGGAGGAAAGGGCTGGTGGGGCCCACAGGCAGGCAGTGGGAGTCAAGGATACTACCATGTGGAATCTGCTCCTTCCTTCGTTTCTATTTTTTTCGTGTGTGTGTGTGTGTGTGTGTGTGTGTGTGTGTGTGTGTGTGTGTTCTGGGATGGAACCCAGGTTGTTCACACTGAGCTGTCCTCAGCTCATTTTTTTTTTGTTTTTTTGAGTCGAGGTCTTGCTACAAAGTTCAGGCTGGCCTTGAACTCACTGTGTAGCCCAGGCTGACCTCAAACTCACAGCGATCTTTCTGCATCAGCCTCCCAAGTGCTGGGATGACAGGGATGTGCCACTAGGCCTGGCTATGCCATGCTTAGTGTTTTGTTGTCTAAAAACCAGGAAAAAAATATTCCTTGTGGCTTCCAACAGAGACCCGGAGGAAAGGAAGGAGCCCAAAGAAGTCTTGAGGTCAGGTGGATCCTGGTTTATTAGAAAGAGCGAAGGCCACAGCTCCTTTGTCTTCTGGGTCTGGCCTCCTGCTGGATGGCTGGCCTGCATAGGGAGGAAGCTGCTCCCCTGGGGGAAGTGACACCTGGCTCTAGAAGGAGTCTGGCAGCCACTCCATGAGTGACAGCTCCCTCTCCACAGACCCAGACTCTGTCTCCATGGGCTGCTCGCTCAGGGACTCCTGGGTCTGGCTGGGGCGGGTCCCTATGGCCACCTGGTGGGGGGCGGGTTCCTTCTGCCAGAAGGGCATCCAGTGGGATGGCCTCTCCTCCAGGGTTTGTGCCCTGCTCCCAGAATTCTGTTTCCAGGGGGACGGCTTGCTGTGCTCAGACAGTGGTGGCCTCTCCAGGGAAGCCTCAGACAGTTCATGCTGGCCCGCAGGGGCCCTGCTGGTGACAGCGGCCTGGTTTCCCAAGCCATCTAGAGTAGAGGCCGCTATCTTCCTGGGCTCCCAGGCCATTGAGGGCAGAGCCTCTTCGACCTCGTCAGACAGGGTTGCAGAGGCGACATTCATGTAGCTGTTGTCCCCGCGTGGCCTTCGCAAGCTTGTGCCCTGTGTGATGAGGTTCGCATAGCCCTCGTGGTGCGAGAAGGCATAGCTGGAGCGCCGGGCACGGGACTCCCGGTGGAACTGAGGCAGAGGCTCCTCTGAGACCTCCTTGCTCCGGGTCGCTTCTACCTCCTCCTCCTGCAGAGCAAAAGAGCAGCAGGGTCATCAGGCTTTCGGGTGTGCTGCTTGGTCTAGGGTCACCTGCTTCCCAGTGGGGGACACTCAAGAGAGCCAAGTCTGTCCTCATCCTTGTAAAGCCAGAGTTCCTCCCTGGGAACTGACTCTGGACCAGCCAATCAGAGTCCCTCCTTGGAGCCTGACTCTGAGTCAGCCAATTAAAAGAGTCCCCTCCCTTACTTGACTCTGAACCAGCCAATTAGAGTCCCTTCTCTTACTTGACTCTGAACCAGCCAATCAGAGTCCCAGCCCTTATTGAGCCAGCCAATCAAGAGTCCCTTCC